GACGGAAAAAAAATAGAAGAGGGTAGTGATGTGGTGTCCTGTGGTGTTGGTATGTTTCATCATGTTTGTGTTCTAGGTTCAGGATGGCTGCTTTGTTATCTTGCTACTCCAGGTAAATTTATTCTAGGTCCCTTCTTCTACTCAGGAAGTCTTTATGTTCCTTCATCACTGCCACACTGAGCTTGATTGGGCATCTTATATTCCATGATGCCAACTCAGAAGATACCTCCTATCCTGTGGTAGCTGGTGTCATTAGATGCTTGAGTTTGGTTGGCATAACTAAATACAAGGCCCTTTTCTCTAACCATAAGATTGTAGAAGGCTCCTTGCTCCCCCTAACAGAAACTGAGTAAAAAAAGACATACTTATTGGTCAACTCAGACAATTTTTGGAGATATTTGTAACTCCAGACACTTTTAAAAGGCTGTTGATGACTGTGATGGCCATCTCTTCAAGCTCAGCCAAGATGTTGTAGCGAGATGAATAGTCACTACTTCAGCAACATGAGGTCAGAGGAGCCAAGGGTCACGGAGGGAGGGGAGCTTGAACTGCTGTTGCCAAACTATTCAGGGGTTTGGCCCCTGGGGAAATCTAATGATATTAGAGTTGAATCAGTCTCAGGGAAAACTAATGATATTAGAGTTGAATCAGTCTTCTCAGACTTGCCTCTTGATTTTCCAAACTTCTTCCTTTCTCAACCTTCTTCCTTCCTGAAGTTTTACTTTACCCAATCTTACCTCCCATTTTCCCTGAAATAAGTCTGTGCTCCAAATAGACTGGCCTCTTCACTGTCCTATGAACCAACTACTCCTTACTCCTTCCTTGTTTCCTTTGTTCATGTCCTCCCCTTTGCCTGGAATCACCTTCTTTTTCCTACTTCTCTAAATCTTTCCACCTGACCCATCTTTCAAGGCTCAGGTGAGTTCTTCTCTTCCATAAAGCCTTTCCTGACCAGTGCAACACACATTGATTAATCATGAAATTTGGAGTTAGCAATATATAATTTTACACTTATATGATGGTTTCCATTCCCACATTAGACTCTAAATGTCTTGAGAGCAGGGACTATCTTCTGTCTTTCTTTGTAGCACAGTACCTGACACATGGCAGGTGGTTAGTAGATGCTTCTTGACGTTGACATTCTTGGCGTGGATCTTTGCTGTGTGCTAAACTTACCTCCCCATCTAACTCTGTAGATTATAAGCTCCTTGAGGACAGGGATCACATTTTATACATCTCTATATCTCCTACTATGTCTAACTAAAATACTCTTTGGGTGATTGACTTATTGCTGTGGTAGCCATTTAATAGAATGTAAGCTAACAGAGGAGAGGGAATATTTCACTCTTGTCTTTTCATCTCTAGTGCATAGCACACCGGAGGGATTCAATGAATGCTTTTGCTTTGAATCAAACTCTAGTAATTGAAAACCACAGTCAGTCCAAAAGTCTCATTGTAGACAAAAGTTTGACTTTTCCTCTCTCTTAGGCCTTTTGAAAAACAAATGGGGGTGGGGTGGTGCACTGCCACCTTGCTCCTATTGATTTCTTTGACCAGGAATTGAATTGATCTAACCATTCAAGTACTAGTGAGCTTTAAAGCAGAGCCAGGACTAGGCTAGCATCTGTGTTCCATTGGCATCTGGGTGGTTCAATGGATAGAGTTGCTGGACCTGCTGTCAGGAAGACACAATTTCAAATCCAGCCTCAGACACTTACAAGCTGTGTATCTCTGAGCAAGTTCCTTCACCTCCATTTGCCTCCATTTCCTCATCTGTAAATTGGAGGTAAGAATAGCACTTATCTCTCAAGGTTGTTGTGAGAAGAAAATAATATTTATAAAGCACTTTGTAAATCTCAAAGTGTTATATAAATGCTAGATATTGTAATCATTGCTAAGAATAATAATACTCTTCCCTGTACCCTCCCCCCAGGTTGAATCTTCAGTACCTGCCTACTTTGTCTCTCTCAGTCAGCTCTGATTGAAATTTGGTATTGATCTTAGCCATTGGTAGACTCTTCCCATAGGTTCCATCTACCATATTTCCTCCCCACCCACTACCACAGCCTCCCCTCTCATTTCTCAACCATTTTTACTTCCTTATTGATTTTTAACCCTCTATTTGCTCTCCAGTGAGGGCAGACACAAAATTGCCTTCGAAGACCATAGGAATGGGCATCCAGCTCTGCTGGGGAACAAGCTGTGTCCTCCGACTATCTTCGACAAATCACTCAATGTTCCTGAACCCCAGTTTCCTCATCTGTAAATCTGGAACAATAACCCTGCTCCCCTCCCTACCTCCCAGGCATATCCTGTAACTGGAGTATATTTGATGACAATCAACAAAATGATAAAGCAGCCTGTTCCCTGCTGGAGTTAAGCATTGGAATGAAACTATAAACTGTTCTTGATGCTTTCTGATGGCAACTCAATAGACTTTAGAAAGCAATTAGAGTCCCTCGGCATTTCTCTCTGCAACCCAGCTATTGTCTTCAAGCAGAGACTAACTTGTTGGGGCGGAATGGGGCCCCCTCCTGACCAGATGGATTTGGCACAATGGGATACTAAATCCTCAGAAACTGTTTCCCTAACAACAGGGGAAAAAAAGGAAAAAACTGTAAGAAACATAAATGGATGGTACTCTGTGCTTATAGCAGAGATAAAATGAGGCAGAGAATGAGAGACAGAGGGCTGCCTACATAAAGAGAGACAGAGGAAATATAATGAGACAACACGAGAAACATATGAAAGTGAGAGACAAATATGGAGAGAGAGAGAAAGAGAGAGAGAGAGAGAGAGAGAGAGAGAGAGAGAGAGAAAGAGAGAGAGAGAGAGAATATGAAAGGAGATAGAGAAAAGTATAGAAACAAGAGGAAAATCACTCTAAGATTGACAGCTCCAGGAAGCAAAGTCTGCCTGTGAAGGTATAGCCTCTTGGAAAAGACAGCTTCTCTCCTTCCACAGGTGGCATTTACCTTTAAATGACCTCATGGGAATCTTGCCAAAAGAAGCTTCCTTTTGACATGTGTGATTTCCTTTTACCTCATTCAGAGAGGCAAGGTAGTTGATTTAGGGAACAGGAAGGCAGCAACTGCTTCCCAGAGCCCCCAGAAGGACACCAGCCTCTCTCTTACTTCAAGGCTGCCCATATACAATGGGGGATGGAGGAGAGAGACAGAGACAGAGACAGACAGAGAGAGAGAGAGAGAGAGACAGAGAGACAGAAACAAAGACAGAGAGACAGAGAGAGAGAGAAAGAGAGTCTAAGAGATTGCCCCTCTGTGTTCTTGTTAGAGAAGTGTGTGCATTGGAGGGAGGAGGAGAAAAATTGCTGATGAAACCTTCTTGTGGTCAAGTTGTGTAGCTGGGGTGGGGGGCCTGGTATTCTTTTACAGCTTTCTCAATTGTTTGTGTTATCATTCCCTTGTGTTTTATCCATCCCTGGGCAAGTCTTGTACCTTAGGCTGTGCTGCAAGCTGTCTGAGATCTCGGACCCAGAGAACACCGAATAGCAAAGTGACAGTAACTGCACAAGCCTTGGACAATTGTGTGTCTGACGACATTCTCTCCAGTGAACCCACGCCTGGGACTGATGGACCCTGACATTCCCAACACTGAAAGGTCCATTAGAAATATAATTCTCCTTCCTCCAGAAGAAATGTTAGTGTTAACACTGAATAGGAAGAAATCGTGTGGACAAAAGGCTCTTGTGGCTGCTCCTAGCAGAATACTACCAAGGAAATGTAAAGCCACTGAGGCTGTCACCTGGCACTCAATATGGTCCTTGGCAGGGCCTCTGCTGGTTGACCAAGTGTTAGACCTGCTGAAGTCCTGTTCTTTTTACTTTCAGAAAAAGACCAAACCTTTCAAAGTGACAACCCCTGAAGACAGCGATAAAGAATGGACAAAGTAACAAATCACATATCACTCAAAATTCAGAAGAGACTAAAAATCTCTACATGTACAAATAGTATCCAGGATCCTAAATGCTACAGTCAAAGCTAGGCATATGTACATGGGGTTCATCTGGTATTTCTAGGCTATGCTAGCTCAACCTGGCATAATAGAGCTCAGAGGAGGAAGGAGCAGAGGCTTCTGCGAGGGATCTGGGAGGAATTAGGGACTGATCTATGGGGAAGAAGACTAGTGGTTAACACCATTTTCATACATTTATAGAAGGATTTGGATCTGGAAAGGACCTTGGAAAACATCTAATCCAATCGGAAATTCTTAACCTGAGGGCCACAGAATCCTAAGAGATGTACAGATAGATTTCAGGGAGTTTGTGGACTTCCAACAGGAAAAGAAAATCACATCTTTATTTCATTAGAATTGATTTCCTTTGTAATTCTGGGTATTTGACTTTAATCATTTAAAAACATTATTCTGAGAAGGTGTCCATAAGCATCAGACTGTCAGAGGTATCCATTACACAAAAAAGTCTAAGAATCCCTGATCTAATACTAGTGACCTCTTTTCCAGCTGAGGAAACTGAGGCCCAGAGTGTTAAAGTGATCTGCTCATGGTCACACTTTGTAAGCATCATAGCCAGAACTTGAACCCAGGTTCATTGACTCCAATTTCCAACAGACCGCCCTGCCATACATTATTGAGTGAATGTGAATACCATGTGAATAATTTTTGAGATGACTTCACAAACTCCTCTTCTAAGAAGTGACTGTGTATCTGTGGGAGGGAGAAGAACAGACTGGTATTCCTCGAGTAAGCTTTGATTGTCATTGAAGGCTGCAGGGTCAGCACTTGGGGCAAGCCTCCTGATCTTATTTCCCTGGGGGAAGTGTTTGCCTCTCCATTATGCTACACTTACCTTCAGGCTTCCCAGGTCCCACCCTGTTGAGACCTTCAATTCTTGTTTATGTCTACCTTCCAAAGCCAGACCCAAGAGGACTTTCCTCTCCCTTGCAAAGGGAGCTGTTGGTCTCTGGGCCTTGGAGTCATCTGTTCCCCTGCCCACTGAGGAGCCAAACATAGTGACCCACCTATGCACACCACGTCCATGAAGCCATACATCCCATAGCAGATCTGGAATAGGAGGTCCTGGCGCTGCCATTTGGCCGAGGGACTGAAGGTGGACCAGATGAGCCAAGAGATGCTGGCAATGAGGAAGAGAGAACCCAGGATGGCTGCTGCAATCTGGACTTTCTCAATGACCGTCAGAGAAATGGCCTGCCACTGGGAAGGACAGAACAAGAGGTTAGCGAGATGATTGGGCAGCTTTCCCCTCACCCTACTTCTCCCAAATCCATTGGCATCCAGATCAGAGCTTCCTGGTTTATTGCAATCTTTGATGTATTTGGAAGCTTCTGAACAAGCCACAGCACATTTAATCCTCCATATCCACAGATTAAAAAAAAAATTATCTAGAGGGGGTCTGTGCTGGTAGAAAAGTCCAGAGTTCAGAGAAGATCCAAAGGAGTGAAACATAATATAATTATGGACAAAGCACCATCAAAGAGCAGCTTTTGGCTGGACCACTCTGATAGGCATGCCTGGACACCAATAGAAATCTTTACTCTTTGCTCAGCCAAGGATACAAAAATTATTGTGTTACCAACCCTGAGATTGTATAAATTAAGGCAAGAGGGGGCTAAGAGGAGCAGGCCAAAGGTCCTAGAGCTGGTTTTGAATACCAGGAATGAGCTATAAGAACTTTTAATCTTGGCATCATCTTCCTCACCACACACTAAATTTGGATGACTCCAAAGACTGTCCTAAATCCTCTTTTTTCTCTATACTCAATCCCTGACGACCTCATCCATTTCCATAGATTCAATTAACACCTTGATAAAGATAACTTACCAATCCAGCCTTAAACTTTCTCCTCTAAACTGCAGCCATACATCACCAACTGCCACGTCCCCAAACTAAGCTCTTGGCAGGCATGTGGTGGAGAGGATTTTTATCTGGTACAGGTTGGATTAGATGGCCCTTAAGGTTCCCTCCAACTTCAAGATGTTATGTGTTTGGGGTAGGTTAGTGGAATATCTTGGGCTCTCTATGGTTCTTTCCCTGCTCTGCCCCCCGCCATTCTCTCTCTCTCTCTCTCTCTCTCTCTCTCTCTCTCTCTCACACACACACACACACACACACACACACACACTTCTTTAGAAGAAATTCTAAGAGTATCACAGCTAAAAGCAATTAAGGATGGCACTTTATTGTTGCCAGGAGTTATTTGCTGGGAAGAGAGTGGCCTCTCCAGCAAGCTCAAGCACATTTTCTTTCCAGAGGTAGTCCAAAGGTCTCAGGGTAGTATCATAAGACTAATTGTTTATATGTATCTCCAAGGTGAAAGAGTCTCATTGGAATGTTGGGGTGCTGCTGTCTAGCAGTCCTGAGTTCTTTTCCTCTCTGAAGGGAATTCAAATCACAAAGGTAGCATTATGAGTATGGAGGACTTTAGGATTCTTCAAAAATTGGGACTCACTGGAAAGGGAGATTTGTTTTGATTTTTTATGGGCTATTGTGAATCCTTTCATACATCTTTACTTTTTTGAGGGATAAAATAAAGAAGATATATTTGTGTTAATTTGTGTGCTTGTATGGGATTTGGGAGATCTTTTGACCACATATATAGAAACCCAGACACAGTCTATATTCACAGATTTTCCCTGAGTAAACTCTGGATAGGGGGCAGAATAAACCAAAGAGTGAATTTGGGGGTTAGTCCCTAAAAATGAATACTGTCCTGACAAACCCAGAGCCTGGGAACCTTGGAACATAAATTGTATCCATTACTGTGTTAATTCATCATCGGATCCCACCTAAATCTGTCCTCCATAGTAGGAGGCCTGTTGCATACCTTATGGTACAACATGGACCCCTCCATAGTAGGAGAGAGGAGGACCGTTCAGAGAGTATCTTTTCCCGTTTCGAAGCATAACTGAAGACATTGTCAATGATCTAAATCTTAGTATCTCTCTCCACTCTAACTAAGGGGAATCAGAAAGAAGCTGAGGGATAGTTACTTAGTTTCAGAATGGATCTTTTCCTAATGTCTCCTCTTTGGACATTCTGTATTCAGAGACAAAGCTACATAAAGCTACCCAGTTCTAGCATAACTAGCAGACCCCATGCACTTGCTCAGTGATTGGGTTCTTTGGGAATGTCAGTGCCCCTGGCTGGTTCTACTCGACCATATATGACTCCTGTTGAGGTTCTTTGAGGGTGATGAAGCCATGTCCTCATTGACCACTGAGCAGCAAGAGCCAATGACTCAGTGGACCTTTCAAAAGGGAGTGACTTCACCTGGTTCAGACTTTCTTAGAACCTCTAGGTGGCATCATATAACTAGGACTTTGGATGAAGAGTGCAGGGGCGATCTTTCTCCACTTTGGCTGCATGTTGGTTATTTCTATGTGTCAGGTGGAGTGGGGGAGAGAAGGGGCTCAACTACAAGAGTTGAACCTTGGCCTCTGATTGCTTCTTCTTTGGGCTTCTTTGGCTGGTCCCAGATGAATATTGATCTTGAGATAGGAGGGAACAAGCTTGAAGGCAACAATCCTCAGCCAGGGCCAGCTGCATTTTGGAAGGGGTCAAGGCAACTACTCCAGTTCAAAGGGTATGGCACAGAACTGAGATAAGGTATAAAATGGAAGAGATTCTGCAGTCTCAGAAAATACCTTCTCTTTCAATGGTTTTAAGTCTCGACTTCTGGGTAGAATTTATTTAGTGCAGTTTGCTTGTGTTCTTCCAGTGAAACTTGTGAGAGCCTTTTATGCTAAGCATTTTTGTGTGTGTGTATAGGAAATAAATACCTGTCCCAATCCTTATTTACATTGTACATTGAGTACTTCTTTGATCCTCTTTTTGGGGAGACCCTAGAACAAAACCTAAGCTTTAAGTAAGTCTTCTCTGGGTGTACCAGGGTGATAGCATAAGAAGCTAACAAATGTAAGAAAAGGAGTCTAACTCTTCTCATTAGAGGCCACTGAACTGGCTCTAGAATAGAAGGGTCATGGATGGAGAGGGAGAAGATGTAGTGCCCCAGCCCCTCTGGGTCCACCAACAGTTGTTATTGCTGAATAAATGTTTATTGATTGATTGATTATTAGACTAGGAAAGTAGTAGAGTGGAAAGAATGTGGGTTTTGGAGTCAAAGGACCTTGGTTCAAGGTCCAGCTCTGCTACATGCTAACCCAATAACCCTGGCTAAGTCATTTAACTTCTCTGGGTGAATCATTTAACCTCCTATATAGAATGGGGAAGGAGTGTAGACTACATGATGGACTAGATGATTTCAAAGGTCCTGCCCAGATCTAAATCTAGATCCTCTGACTTGTCAACTCTATAGGAGACATTCTACTGTCCTACTACCTCCATGAAGTCTTCTGAGCCCTTCAGCTCCTGCATGTGTCCCTCACCTTCCTTCTGGCACTTTTCCAGTGATTGTCTGATTTGCATTATAATTGTTTGCATACACATCCTATTTCCCTTGCTAGACTCTGACATGTTTCCCAATGACTGGGCATCTTGAACCACCCAGTAGTCTCTATATGGGGCATGAGTCTGGCTTCGGGTCAGAGAGAAACAAAAGGACCCTGCTGAGGTTCCACAGCCCTGCATTAACAGCACCAGGATGGGAACCTCCAGCTCTATTTTTCCATCGCCTGCTTTGCAGCCTGTTTTCAGGAAGGCCCACTTCATCCCACCTCTCAGTCTGCAAGACAGAAACTCTCACTGGAATTGAGCAGTGTTGTCTCCCTTGATAGCTCCTGTCTGGCTCATTGCTGGAAACCAACATGAGTAAGCAATGCAGCCCACAAACTGTGCCCCACCCACAGAATGCTCCCGGGGAGCCGGGATCCTTCCTTCTGCTGGTGTTCTCACTTTGGGGATGGTGAAAATTACCCACCTTTGCACACACCAAGGCAAGCAAAGGAGGCACAGTTCAACTTCTAGGAACTCACAGCTGGAAACATGGCAGCAACCCAGATGGAGGTGAGATTAATGACTCAGGTGCATACAGCACTTTACAATTTGCAAAAGAGTTTCTTACAATAACTCTGTGGGGGGGAGTTAGGACAAGTTTTACAATCCTCGTTTTTTTTTTTTTTTTTTTGAAACCAGACTTGAGATTTCATTGAAATAGGGAGCTCCTACTGAGGAACTCCCTCTACCAATGGACATGAGCTCCTCTATCTCAGCAACTGAGGGAGCTGTCTCCCTTGATGTGGAGAGGTTCACACAGCTCCAGTGGGTGTCAAAGGCAAGATTTGAACCAAGGTCTTCCTGACACTGAGACACTTCCCCATTTTATAGATAAGGGAACAGGTCCATAGAAGCAATCTGTCCGACATGGGTCGCACAGCTGGAAAATTGGCAAAGCTGAGATTTGACTTTAGGTCATCTGGCTCCCAGGCCAGGGCTCTCTGTTACATGATGTCTGTCAGAAACAAAATGCTGAATGGACTTCTCAAGCTATAGGGTGCATAGATATGATATTTTGTGAAAAGTTAGCTCAGACTAATTCTGAGACTTACAGCCTAAAAGCAGATAATTGCTGCTTGGGAATTTGTAAGAGGCATCCTGAATGGTGATCCAACCCTTCTTCAAGGTTTTGGTTGAAAGTGTTAATGGGTTAATGTGGCTATCTGAGGCTCAGGAGGACCTGGGTAAAGTGCCCTTTGTCTCTGGTCTGTCTCCAGAGGACCTGAAATCCACTGGCTTAGTGCTGCTACTAAATTCAAGGTTTATAAACAAATGATGGGGGTGGGAGGGAGGGAAATAGGGGTACAATGCACACAATTTTGGAAACCTTGCATCTATATTTTATAACCTACATGCAATGCGTAAAACACATTTTCTTTAGATCCACTTCTACCCAAGTTTTTCCTGTACCCTCTCTGTAATACCCCCCCAATTCTCTCATATCCCCTAAAGTTCAGCCTCAACACTATCCTGTTCTACTCCTGCATTAAGGGGACAACAGAAAGAAGGGTCATAAGATCATAGATTTAGAGCTGGGAGGGATTTCGTAAGCTACGCAGCTCAAACTTCATTTTTTAGATAGGGAAATTGAGGCCACAGAGATAAGGTGATTTACCCATTGGTCACCCATTTGAACCCAGACCTCGACCACAGAGCCAGTCCATTTCTCACTGTACCCCAATACATCCTCTTGCCAGGACTCAGGAAGGCAATAGAAGATGCCCTGGAGGTTTGTTGCTACAGCTGCTCCGTGGCTGCATCTGGGATTTATTCCTTCCAGGCCCAGTGCCGCTGGCAATGGACTTTCCGGGCTCCCTGGGGGCCGAACAGGCCGCTTGCATTTTTCCATTAGGAAGAAGAGAAGATAGAAATACACACCAGTGGTGCTAACTTCCCAACTGATGCTCCTTCCTCACTTATGCACTGGCTAATTAATTATGTGGCAGCTTAATTGGCTAATTATGCATGTGCAGTGGTATTTTCAGAGGCAAATCACTTTATTTATGTGGATGCCTCTCACCCAGAACTGCATTTGGATAGGGGGAATTTACGAGTGTTTACATTTGGGGTCTGCCAAGTCCTTTAGTTCTCATAGATGTGCCAGGGCTTGGCAAGTGGGATCTGGGTGGGGAGAGCTGGGCAGCAAGGTCAAGGCTCATTCCATTGGGTCTTAAGAAGAAGGTCTTGCTTGGTAAAACACATATACTACCTTCACCCATTTCTGATGTTGGTTTCATGCCTCTTTTTATCTCTCTGACTCTTGTCTTTTCACTTGTCTCTCCCTAAATTTTCCTCCCCCCCTTTTTTTTGTCCTCCCATCATTTTGTCTTCTCAACTCTCCATTATTCTCTGTTAATTCTTATTTTTCCTGCTTCTGCCTCTTTCTTTGTTCTCTTTCCTCTCTCCTTTTCTATGCTTCCTCTCCTCTCTGCTCTTTCTCCTCTCTTTACACCAATTCTCCTCTCTTCTCTCCCCATCCCTCTCCTTGACTTCTGTACCCCATTATTCATCATTCCCTGTCATCTTTCTCTGACTCATGTCATCTCCATCTCTTCCCCCATGCCAACCTAAGGACTTCAGTCAACCCCCTCCTACTATCTCTAATTCAACTCAATTAATATTTATTAAGCACCTACTGTGTACAGAGAACTGTGTTACGTATGTTGGAGAGATACAGTGGGACATACTGTTCCTGCCCTAGAGTGGACTATAGGAGAAATATTACACATATGCAAGAATTATAATTCCAAATAATATGTTATGTGCATGAGAGAGACAAATAAAAAGCTAAGATGCCAAAGGAATAGAAAGCTAATTTCTGACTGGGGGAATCAAGCAAGGCTTCATGGAGGAAGCCACATTTCATTTGGACTTTAAAAGATGATTAAGCTATGCGACTCTGGGCAAGTCACTTAACCCCAATTGCCTCACAAAAAAAAAAAAAAGATAATTAGGAATTCAATGGAGTGAGGGGGTGAGAGATCAGTACAAAAGGCATCCCAAGCATGGGAAACAGTATAAATACAGGCATGGAGGCAGGAAGAAGGAGGAGGTGTTTTGGAGACAAAAAAAAGAGCATATGGAATGTAGTATTAGAAAAAAAAAACTAGGAAAGTGACATCATATTTTGAAGGTCTTGAAGGAGTTTGAAATTGACTTGGCAGGTAGTAGGGAGCCACTGAAAAGTTTTGAGCAGAGAAGCAACAACATTTGTGCGCCGGAAAGATTCATTCTGGCTGCAATCTAAAAATGGGTTAGAGAAGGGAGAAGCAGAAAGCCCGGTTAGAAGAAAGGGTTTTGAATTGAAAACAAGCAAAAACCAGCTTGGGGTGTGGGGATCGCGTTGATTTCTTCCCTCCCCAAACCCAAGAATGTCCACAACCCTCCAAGGGGTCCTGGGATCTGGGGAAGAGAGGCGCGGCCCCGCCTCCTGGACCTTTACCTGCAGAGGATTCTTTGTGCTTATGGCAATGACGTGGTACTTGTAGTAACACAATTCACAGCTCCAGCAGCCCCTCTCGCTGATCCACTTTATCAGGCAGGGCTGGTGTGTGCACTTGACTGACCCGTCGCAGCGACAGGGACTCAGCAGCTCCCCCTGCAGAGCAAGAGTGAGAGGCGCAGTGAGAAAGAGCGGGGGAAGAATTCCGGCATCAAGGCAAGAAGTATTTATTAAGCGTCTACTGTGTACTGGGCCATGTGCTAAGGACAGATGATTGGCAGCTATGTGGCACAGTAAGAACACAGGACTTGGAGCCAGGAAAGCCCCCTTTGAATCCTGCCTCATGTACTGACTAGCTGTGGGACCTTGGGTAAATCACTTACTGTACCTCACTTTCTTCATTTGTAAAATGGGAATAATAATAACACTTACTTCACTGGGGGATCATGAATACCAAATGATAAGTATAAAAAGTGCTTTAAAACTTGCAGTATTATATAAATATTAGCTGTTTATTTAGCATTCAGCCAAGAGCTGCCTATGTGGATTGTACTAGCTGACCTCTCAATATTCTATTTTTCCCAGTTGTATGTACCATTAAGCAAGTCACTTAAACTCTGGACATCAGTTTCTTTATCTGTAAATTGAAGGAACTGGATTCTATGTTCCCTTCTAGTTCTAAATCTATGATCTGATAATCCTAAGGAATAGGGTGCTCAGCCCTAGGCAGAAGCAGCCAAGAGACCCACATCCTTGATCATGGCCATGCAAGGCAGCTCATTTCATTTCTGCTCATCAGCTTCCTCCCCTGGGAAGACCCAGGGAGAAGGATTCCCAGCTAATCCTGCTAACCCAGTTGGCCTCCTTGGAAGCCAAGGAGCATGAGGTAGGGGTATGAAATCCAATTCAACAAGCATTAATGAAACACCTGCTGTATTCCAAGTGCTGTGTTAGGTGCTTGGTGAGATGCAAAATTGAGATAAAACAGCCCTGCTCTCATTGAGCTTATAGCCTGGTAGGCAGTCCCACCAGAGTTACGTAGATAGCGTTACATCATCACACGCACACACACAGAGCAGATATCTGTGGACCTGTGAATCAAGGACTGTGATCAGCCTTTCCCCCAGAGTTTGAAAACAAGAAGAAATCAATCAATAAGTACTTATTACTAGTACCTACTAGTGCCAGCCACTGTGCTAGGTGATTACAAGTACAAAGAATGAGACAATCCCAATCTCAGGGGCTAAGGCTATGATAGCATAAGGTTAGACATAATGAGGGTGTTCCCTGCAGCCAGACTTGTGGATGCTGACAGAGGACAGAAGGGAAGCTGGGGACATTTCTTCCCCTTGGAAATCTCTCATTTGAACTTGGGAAAGGGATTCTCCTTGAATGCAAGAGACAGGCAAGATCCATCCCCAGACACTCACCTTTGACGTTCCTATCCCTGTATAAACCATCCTTCACATGGGAAATGCCCATTTCTAATTGTGTCTTTGTTGATGCTATTTCCCCCACCAGTCCTACCCTCCTTGTTCCCCCTCTAAATCCTATTCATCCTGAGGACCACCTCAGGTCCCACCTTCTCTAGGAAGTCTTTCTTGACTACTCCAGTCTACACTGATGTTTCCTCTAAATTTTGCTTGACTGAATTAATTCACGTGTGTTCTAATCCTGTTCCTCAATTAGACTGTATCCTTCTCAAAGGAAGGGACACATTTTATGGTTCTCTATAACCTCCTTGGCTCCCTCTGTCTCAATCAGGCCTAGTGTCATTCTGGACACATTCAATAACCACTGGATGAAAGATTAATCTGGAAACAGAATTCTGTTTTAAGCCCTAAATTAACTGCATTCTGGGCTTCTTGTAACCCTGTCTTCAGGGCTCAGTTAAACTGGAAGGGTGGAAATTTAAGAATGCCTCAAAGAACCAAGGAAATTCTTATACCTGGTCCTTCAAGTGTTAAAGTCTTTGGTACTGGATCAAAGACACTAATTAAAGACAGAGAGCTCAGAATTCCCTCTGTAATCTTGATGCTGAGAGCTTCAAGACCAAGCAAATCTCCTAGGATCTCCTGGGGAAGGAAGAATCTAGTCTGACCTTTCCCTGACCCCAAATTGGCTTACTCTTCTACAAGACATATTTCAAAGCTCTTTCATGTCTAAATTATGTTATTCTCACAATTACTCTTTGGATCAGGTGCAAATTATTATGCTATGAGGATAGGGAACTGATCCCTCGATTTCACTCTTGTAGGGAACTCCCAGGTGAGAAAGCTCCCTTTATGAAAGCAGATCAGCACCTTCTTGGTAACTTAGCATCTTAAAGAGTTGCCTAGAGCCATGAGAAGTAAAATGACTTGTTTAGGGTCATACAACTATTATGGGCAGAGGGATAATTTAGACCAGATCTTCCTGGCTTTAAGGCCAGCTCTCTAGACACCATACCATGTTCTCTTGTTGTCATAGATTCAAACATAAGTGTGTATATATATATATATATATATATGTTTACTCAAAGGGCCTAGATTCATATCCTACCTGTCACTTGTTACCTGTGTGACCTTAAACAAGTCATTTTTAAGTTCACTAGACCTTGGTTTCCTCATCTATAAAAAGAGGTGGTTGGACTAGATGGTCTCCAAGGCCCCTGGCAGCTCTCCATGTAATCCTAGGTTGTATTCTGTTTTTATGTATTTATATGGGTCATGCCCTATATTGGAAATGCATTCCCTCCTCTCAATTTGTTTTGTTTGTTTGTTTTGTTTTGTTTTTAGCTCAGGAGCTCCCTCCTCCACAGAGCTCTCCCTGATCCCACCCAGCTAAGGTATCTTCTCTCTCCCCCAATCTTCTTAGATCTCTTTACCAGGTCTTTCCTTTACCCCTATCACATTGTACTTGTCTTGTACAGCACACCTATCATAACCACCACTCCCTCCCCTATCCAACATGTACTCCTTGAAGGTAGGGACAAAGCCATTTTTATCTTCCTATTTCCAGCACCTAGCACAGTGTTCTAGACAGATTAAATACTTAATAAATCTTTGTGGAATGAATTCTCAATGTCACTGGTGGAGCTGGGGCTCTGACACCAGGCTGCTCTCTCCCAGACTAAGATTCTGTATTCTCTCACCACTGAGCTACTGGGAGAATTGCTCAGATCTGCTTCTCTGGTGGTTTGAAATAAAATTGAAGACTCAGGTTTAACTGGGATGGTTTCAGTGGAGTATGACCTAGAGACAGGGGGATGGACAAGCTGACCTTTTGAGAACTCCTGCCAGTAAGAGGAGTACTTATTAATCCACCATAAACCTCTGCTGTCAATAATAAAGGAAAACTTTGGGGAAGTCTAAAATTGGTCTCTGTAAGTAACAACACTCAAAGTCGTAGCATCTGTTCCAAGACCAAATATTGAATGCCTTCCTTCATTCATGGATTTCTTTTCCTTTATTTTGGCTGACTTCTTTTTTTTCACCCTCGCCCATCTGAAAGAGCTATTTTCATTGTTCTTGAGTTATCTGATTGCCATGGTGGCAACAGATATGTCCCTCAACCCACATAGGCTCTGGTGTATCCTCCCCTGAGCAAAAGCCAGGGAAGAGAGGAAATACATCCACAACTAGTGTGTGTGTGTGTGTGTGTGTGTGTGTGTGTGTGTGTGTGTGTGTGTGTGTGAGAGAGAGAGAGAGACACCTGATGGGTCCTGTTTGCAGCTCTAGAGGCTCAAATACATTCTCTACCTCCAATTCCCTTAGGGTGGGGGTGGGGGGATACACTGGGAAATCAGTGAGACAAAGACAGAGAAACCAGGACGAAAGAAGTACCTTTCTGACATCCTTAATCAGCCTTCTCTGACTAATCCCACCCCTTTCCATTTCTTCCAATCACTTGGTAGGATTGACAGGATTCACTAGGGAGAAGGAGTAGGGAGGAAATGGAAAAACTGGGATTTCAGTCATATCTTCCTTCTGCCAACCCCTATCCCTCTCTTTTTTCAGAACACTGTTCAAAATCTGACTGCTTTATAAAGTCTTCTTAGGCCCACCTAGACCTAGTTACTTTACTCCTTTTCACAAACCCTTATCCTTTTGTTCCTGCCAAATATAGATACATACATATGTATGCATACATACGTACGTACATATGTACATACACACACACATACATATACATATACATATGCAATTCTCCTGAGGTGCAGTGAGATATGTCCAGGGGTGTGCTGAAGCCAGCTCAAACCAGCCAGTTGTTAAATTCTCAGTTTGACACCTCCAAAATTGGTAATTGGCAAAGACTACAAATCAGAGTTTAATTTATTGTTTTGATGATTATCTAGACCTAAGAAATGATAGAGAAATGTTAATAATGCAAATTAAAAGTACTTATTGTTTGATTTGAGTGGGGGAAAGAGGTGGTTGGTTATTAAACATTTATCAGCACACCTCCAGATATATCTCATGCCCATGTGTCCAATTTAATGGCTTGTGTTCTCATGTGCTTTTTATGAAAGTTTGCCCCAATTAGGAAGGTACAGAAAGCCAAATGCTGAAGCTCAAATCCAAGCTTCTTTGACATTTTATTAGGCTTCATTTTCCTCCTTTGTAATACAAGGTGGTTGGATTCAGTGGGCTTTCATGGATTTTGTAGATTGAAAGCTCTCATCTAACCAATTCTTGCTTAAAACTATGGATTCTTAAGGATGAGGATCCTGTACTGACTTTTCCTTTCCTTTTCCAGGTAGTTTAAGCACATTGTGGATGTTCATTTTATAGTGTTAACTATATGTGCAGGATGGAAAGGGGCCCAAGAGAGAATGACCAAAGAAGAGGATCTTTCCTTCCAAATCTCCCAAATATTAGAGCTAGATTTGGGTCTACTGAACAATGAGGGGAAGGAATAAGCTAGGGTAGTCAAACTCCTAAGTCAGGTTCCTGACAATGATTTCTAGCATCCACACACCCTGAGGAGGTCATCTCAGTGGAGTGTGACCTACAGACAGGGGAATGGACAAGTTGACCTTTTGAGAACTCCTACCGGTCAGAGGAGTATTTAGTAATCCATCATAAACCTCTGCTGTCAATAGCAAAGGAAAGCTTCGGGAGGTCTAAAATTGTGCCTGAAACACAAGAGTGTTTGCTATAAGGAAGAACCTCTTC